CCACCTCGCGGTGGTACGCATTTTGTCCAGTGCGTTTCAAGAGGAAAAAACAAAAAGAGATGAGTAACTTGTCGCAGAAATGGACTACTCACGTTACGAGGGAGCACTGTAGCCGCAGCCAATGACGAAGCACACGGCAGGGACACGCGTATGTGCTTTTCAGTGGATTGCTCCTTTTAGGAATGTGGACATCCTCAACAGATGCAACCTGAGTGCCATAGAGACCACCTAAGGGAGTCCTTTAACCTAGTTCACCGCTCTAAGTTACCCAGTCTGTTGGCTATATTCCGAGCCACGACTTTACCGCGTCAGAATTTTTTTAAAGCCAGAAGTGAATCAATGTGCCGTAGGAAACGATTCCGTAGTGTCAACCTTACTTTCTTCTCCCTCTTTCATGCAGCAGTCGCCTGTAGGATTCGATCAGTCGTCGTATGGTTGAAATGGGCTGGCCCGTTATGAAGCTTGTGCCTAGGCATGCCACCGAACTTACGCACACGTGTGACATTTTTACGGCATTTGCGGACATTGCGCGGCCTTGTTAACACATGTCTTGCCCTAATCTTCTATTTCTTTTGGATTGACCCCAATTGTGAAAAACTCGAGGCGTTCGGCGGGATTTGAACCCGCGTAGTAGAAAAGGCCTTTACCGGAAGCCAACGCTCTAAACACTGAGCTACAAACGCCCTAAACTCGAGGCGTTCGGCCGGACTAAAAGTATTTCATGTAAGGTCTATTTCAGAGGGCCAATGTAGTGCAAACGCAAATGTACACACGCCAAAAGAATGAAAAACTGGTTAATCACCACCACATTGTCTTCAGATTGCCAGCTCGGGTTGCCAGACTTCGAGAAGATTACAGCATTAAAAGGACAATAGCAGCACAACCTTTATAGTGTGTTTTCTTCGTAACATGTTGTCGTTTCGGAAATAGAGTATTGTTATCCTACGTGACAGAGTATTGGGTAAGAAATGGTGCAATGAAGAGACGAAAAAGAGTCGAGTAAATTTTCTGGACGCTACACTGGGTGTATTTATTAGGTTGTAGCACATACAGACATTCGGTACAGACATTGCTAAACAATTTTGCGCCGGTCAATAACCTAGTCTTTGCTAGGCGATTCAAAGCTATTTCGATTGCGCCACCTGCGCAATCAAGTCAGCCATTCATTTGACGGAACTGAAGAACGGAAACAGATTGGACGAGCTCACCATGCCTATAAAGACCACCGTGGTGCTTCCTTTGGACGGCAAGCGTGCAGCAGCTAAGCCGGAAGCCGGTAACTTGGAAACGTAATAAACTTAACAGCTGACTATAGGCCTAATTGAGTGCGGAGGTCTGAATGGCAATTATGCGCTTGTCACGCTAAACCCTCGGCCCTGAGAGCTCGAAAACAAACCGGGAGTGCAGGCGTTAATATAGAAAAACGAAGGCGCGTGGCGGAGGAACGGGTGGGGTGGGGGGCAGAAGGGCAAGCACAGTCGGCGTGACGGCAGTGTGCGTTATGAGTCGATATAAACTCATATGGTACAGACATTGCTAAACATTTTTGCGCCGATCGATAACCTGGTCTTTGCTAAGCGACGCAGAGCAAATATCAGCTTTTTGACTGCACCACCTGCAGAATAACTTTTTTAAATCAAAAATAACCCTTATTCTATCTTTTTACAATTAATATGGACATTTAGGGTGTTTGCATTTAGCGAAAATTACGACGAATTTAGGATTGCCATCAGATATCATCCACAAGGAAAGGCTGCGGTTTACTGCTGAAATAAATTGCTATCTCCCAGATGGTCGTAATTTAGTGCTACGTGGGTTTGACAATAAATACCACCATGTGTCATTCCTCATGCAAAATAAGGCGTCCACGGGAACTGATGCACTGCGCAACCCTTATTCAGTGGTGCGAGCGAATAGTATGCAAGCTGGACTACTCAACCGTAAACGTACGTCTGGTATTGGATGCTGAAATACGTAAACACTTCCGGAACCTGGTAGCCAAAGTCTGACGGAGATTTACAACTGCGATGAGACTCACAACGCGGTAGTAGTCGCGCCTCATCTCTTCTCCCTTCATAGCCCACTGATCAGGAGTGACTTCACATCTCCATGTCTTTTTTCAAATACGTCATGGAGCCAGGGTGCTAGAGCATAGCTTTCAGTGGGAATACCGTCCTCTCCGGATGTCTTGTTGTCGTACAGCCTTCTGCAAAAGTGAGTCGCATAACACTTTTTAGGTTGAACATCCATAAGACACAGCGGTAGAAGAGTGAGGGCGGGAAGGGTTGACCGTCAAAGCTGAAAAGCTGCTCGAAATGCTAACATTATCGGCCAAATTGGGTCGAGTTGTGAGCAATAAAGCTGCCATTCATGCCGCGAACAGAAACTCAATGCGGAGGGCTTACTATTAATAGGGCGGATAATTCTATATATGTTGGGTCAGCATTTCACCCTAGTATTTCTAACAGTCATCTGTAGCCGAGTGTGCCGTCATTTTCGAGAGATGAAACATCGTTGTGAGACCCGGCCAGGGCCGTTCGAGCAGTCAGCTGCAAGGTTCTTCCGATGATTAGGTCGCTGCGGAGCCGCTGAGTGTATCCAAATAGTTCTCACCCACTACTTACTTGTAAAATGTTTGTGACACTCTAAAACTCGACCAAATTGAGAAGCAGATGTGATCACTGGGACAAGAATTTGATTCGCCTGAAGTTTCGAAATCTGCCGCA